ATAAAACCGACAAAGATGGAAACATTGTTCGAAACAAAGCCAGACTTGTTGTAAAAGGATATTCACAACAAGAAGGAATCGACTATGAAGAAACTTTTGCCCATGTCGCAAGACTCGAGGCGGTTCGAATATTTCTGGCTTATGCAGCTCACAAAGATTTTGATGTTTATCAAATGGATGTGAAGTGTGCATTTTTAAATGGAGAGCTTGAAGAAACTGTTTACGTGGAACAACCCCCGTGTTTTATTAACGAAGAATATCCTAATCATGTTTATGTTTTAGATAAGGCAGTTTATGGTTTAAAACAAGCACCATGAGCATGGTATGGAACTCTTACATCATTTTTGAAACAATCTAAATTTAAACAAGGATCTGTTGATCCCACATTATTTCGAAAGAAAGTGGGGAATCATCTTATGCTTGTTCAAATTTATGTTGATGATATTATTTGAGGCTCGACTGACCCTGCTTTGTCTAGAGAATTCGAAGATTTGATGAAAAGCAAGTTTGAAATGAGCATGATGGAAAAAATCAATAATTTCCTTGGATTGAATATTCGTCAAAGCAGAGAAGGGATTTTCATTAATCAGGAAAAATATACGAAAAATCTGCTAGAAAAGTTTGGATTGACGAATAGCACAAAGCTTCGTGTACCAATGGCAATAGGCATAAAGTTAACACCATCGTTAGACAAACCTGCTGTTGATATAATGTTATATAGGAGCATGATTGGTTCATTACTTTATCTTACAGCAAGTAGACCTGATATCATGTTTTCTGTAATTGTGTTAGGTATCAGTCTAATCCACGCGAACCACATCTCGCTGCTGTGAAGAATATTTTTCGTTACCTTAAAGGAACAATTTCGTTAGGATTGTGGTATCCTTCGAAAACAGGATTCTTCGTACAAGCATACTCAGACGCAGACTTGGGTGGTTGTAATCTTGATCGAAAAAGCACAAGTTGTGGATGTCAATTTCTTGATGGCAAATTAGTAAGCTGGCAGTCGAAAAAGCAAGCATTGCGTGTCAATTTCCACAGCTGAAGCGGAATATGTGGCTGCTGCTGCTTGCACTTCACAAATAATATGGATCCAAAGTCAATTGCGTGATTATGCAATTAATATGAAAAAGATTCCATTATATTGTGATTCTCAAAGTGCGATTAGAATTTGTCATAATCCTGTGCAGCATTCGAAGACTAAACACATAGCTCTTCGTTATCATTTCATTAAAGATCACGTGGAGGATGGAAATATTGAAGTACATTTCGTGAAAACAACTGATCAGTTAGCTGATATTTTCACGAAACCTTTGGATAAAAAGTCATTTGTGAGAATAATAGAAGGGCTTGGAATGATCGATGGAAATTCTGTTCCATGCGAAAAAGAAAACTGATGGGTGACAATGAATGAATCAGAGGCGCTGAATAAAAGATAACGCAAAGTCATTCAGCATTCAGCGGTTACTGTTCCTGGTCAACGCTTCGACCGCTTCAAATTCGCACGTTTGTCACTTATTTTAAAGCGTTGAGTTAGTGGTTATTGTGCATAGTCAACGCTTCGACCGCTTCGAATTCGTACATTTGTTACTCATAAAAGAAGCTGTTTGCAACAAATACAGTATCTTTTTCAACTTTTCGAAAAATTAAAAAAAAAATTCCAAAAAGATTTTTTTTGTTTTGTTCTTAAATTTTCGAAAAATTCAAAAATCCAAAAAGATTTTCTTTAGTTTTGTTCTAAAAATTTTCGAAAAACTCCAACATTCAAAACGATTTTCGTTTATTATGTCTTTATTTTCGAAAAATCCAAAACCACAAAAATATTTTGATTTTTACTTCTTTTTAGTATTTTGTTGCAGATATTGATCACAATACAGAGGGGATTAAGCATGTCGTACTAGGGTCAGGTTTATATTCACATAAGTCTCTGAGCTACCTGACTCTTCTCAAAATGAGTTAAGAGTTTTCTGTTTGGTCCAATATCATAACAGAGGTACACTTCGTGTCTTATACCAATCTTTTTCATCAATAAAGTTCTTACACGATCACACACAAAGACATATGTCCGAGAGGTCTCTGATCAAACCCGTCGAGACTTAGATATATCAAAACTCTGTGATTCTGATCTAATATCATGAGTCCGTGATGATCGTGAAACCCACATTTCTTGCAAAATTAAGGAATTGACGGGGAACTAAGTTCCAGATGTTTACGAAACTTTTGTTTATGTACCAAAGTTCGAAACTCCAAATCATATTCATTTCAAATGTGTGGTCTTGATCAAACATTCGAAACCCATGATGTTTGTTACCCAACAAGGTCCAGTACATAATTTTTTTTCTTGAATATGATTTCCGTGTGAGTTTCATTCGAATGTCCTAGTCATGATTAAAATTTCTCAAAGCAACTTGTCACTGACTACACTGGTCAAACAAGTAATTTCTGTTACACATTATCACCTTACGTTTAGGTTAACATGTAACGAAATTTTGAACCTACCCACGAAGCATTCTCAAAAGAAGCCCTTTGATACTTATCCAAAAGTATTTCATTGTAATTCACGGGAACATACACAAGCTGTTGATCATCTCTCTTGATGATTAACGAAGCAATCTTTGCCCGGGGTTTATCAGCCTTCGTGTCAAATTAAATTTTTGAAATCACAAAATCCCAAAATTTTTATTTCTTTGTTTCTTGTCTAACTTTCTTTGGAACACTACACACACGAAATCCTTGAGGTTCTGAGTAATACCAACTCAGGCTGATGATTTCGAACATCTGGCATATGACTTCGCTTTTTATCCCAAAAGTGAAAGAAACTTGCTTCCATTCGAAGGGTTCTGACGGTTACAATTCTCTTGGAGGGGTAATGACAGGTTGTGTATAGATGACGTATGGTATTATGTCCGGTTTTCTAGGTGATGTGACAGCTACTTTTTGATGCATGGCTATCTTTACGCAGTAATGATTTTTAAGATGCCACGTCGGATCTTATTAAATGCATCCCGCTTCAAATTCAAAAATCCAGGGTTACATATAAAAGGGGATTCCAGGGTTAATTCTCCGTTTACGCGATCAAAAAGCAAAATACATAAATTCTTTGTTCATCATTCTCTTCAAACCCTAACAATGGCGACTTCTGCTCATGTCGATCCTTCCACTGAAGATATTTCATCCGCACCAGTTATGAAGATTCAATCCACTAACTATTATGTGGATGGTGAAGTTTCTCAATATCCCGAGGAATTGAAGATGCTCATCGTTGCTCTGAAACACTCTGTTTTATCCACGGCGATGTTCAATTCCTTTTCAGTTCGAATATCCTGGCTTTCTCAAGCAGGATCCACTGCAACATACAACAAAGCCTCAGATACAATCACTTTCCATCTTGTGAATGATAAAAAGGTTAGGTTATCCAAGAAACTTTTCTGTCAGATTCTTGCAATTCCGAATTCGCCTCCTTTTGTTGAATTCACATTCCCACAAATTGTCCATATGTTTAATGAAATGGGATATCAGCCCCCATTGTCAAAAATCAGTGATTTTAGAAAGTCTGGACTTCCACGATTATGGAATTTCTTGTTTGGGATCTTTTAAGATGTTTGACTGGAAGAACCGTTGGCTTAGACAAAGGAAGGATGGAGGTGTATGCTATGGTTGCAGGCCTCTACTATGATCTTGAAGCAAATTTTTCTACACAATTATGGAAGGAATTCCAAAAGGGTGTAGAACATACGAATGCTGTTCATGGCATTTCGTGTGCACGATATTGGAGCCTTATTTTACAGTATTTTTATAATAAGGAAGGAATTTTAATATCAAATGAAGAAGAGAAGGTTACTTTTCAATCTTATCATTATCCGAAGGAGGTTGTCGATGATGCTGATACTTCTCCAAGTGTTGCTCGGATTCCAGATGCAATGCTTAAACGGGTGGATCCTACGAATCCGGTTTTGGTAGCATATCTGAAAACGGTCGATTCTTCTATTCCGACTGGAATCTTGTTGCCTAGGGAAGAGAAGAAGTCCAAAAAGTCGAAGAAGGCTGATCCTGCTTCCTCTGAAAAGAAAACACAGGATTTGAAATCCTCCAAGTCTCCAAAGAAGAAGGTTGATGAAACCCAGGTGATTGAGCCAATTTTTGAAGAAACTCAAGAGAATGTTATAATTCCTTCGAAGACTGGGATGTTTCGAAGAATCAAGATGAAATCTCTTCGCAAACGCAAGTCACCTTCACAGAAAATGGTTTGAAAACCTCAGATTACTCATCAGGGTGTGCTTATTCGTGAAGTACCAGCTCCTGTTTCTCCGAGGTCAAAGAAACGAGTAGCTGAGGATATGGCAAAACACTTGTCACAAACGAAGAAGAAGAAGAAAACTCAAAAACTTGTTGTACCTACTGAGTCCACAGAAGACGATGAAACGATACCCGAAACCCCAGAGTTTACTCATCTCATTACAAGTTCAACTCCTGAGAAGACAGATGTCATACCACCCGATGTTTCGATTGTCAAATCAATTTTTGAGGAGGTTCGAACTTCAGGCATCCCTGTACACGTATCTGATACGGATACAAATGTCAATATGGGTGAAGGAGGTTCGAAGAATGTAGATCAAGGTACTCCTTTAGAAACAATTGTTTCTGTCACACCATCATCTACAATTCCCATTACATCAACCACAGACTCACCTACCTTCGAACAGATCATAAATCAACAATTTACTTCCATTTTCTCTTCTCAATCCACTGACCCAACAAAACCACCTTCGCCTATTCACGAAAACATTGATATGGAGACAGAAACAGACAATGAAGGCTTTGGAGGTACATTCGAAGATTTGGAATTTCATGAAGATGAAGAAGAATTTTCTAATCATATGCTGATGACAATGAAGCAGTATAAAATTCTTAATCAGAAGTTGAACTCCTTAATTCAATCCCAAGCCGATCTTGGAGGAGCTTCATCAGTATCGAGTCTGGAAATCGATACTATGTTAAAGATGCTGGAATCAAGAATAATCAGCAAAGTTTCTGGAATGGTGAAAGCTTCAGAGTCAGTCATTTTGGAGAAGGTTGATTACACGGATCAGAATAATGAACTTCGTGTTAAAAATCAACGATCTGATTTTATGGGTGAAGTTAAGAATCTAAAAAGCATAACAAAAGAACGAAATATTCTTTTTGTTCAAGAAGTGAAGAAGGTAAGAGAAGATGGTAACAAGCAGATTCATGAACTCCGAGAAGAAATGCAAAAAGAAGTTGCAGCTGTACATCATGATAATACATCAGTGAATCAGAAGGTCGATATCATTTGTGATGCAGTCACTCGTTTTGTCAAGTTATATGAAGGTTTGAGTCCTCAAATAACTCAAATCTCAACTTCCGAAACTGCAAGTTTTAAGGAAGTGATAAAGCTGCTCAAGGAGTTAAAGGAGATTTCAACAAAGCCAGTTTCGTCTCCACTGATTACTCCCGAATTTTTATCCCAGAAGTTCGTTCAGTTCGAAGCCATTCTCAATAAGCAGCTTGCACCACTTTTTCGCATCTCAAGTCTTCTTCCCACAACAACTGCCCCTCCTGTTTTTACAGGGGTGCAAGGGGGAGAAAGTAAGTCAGCTGAAGAAGAAGCGAAAGTGGTGGGCAAAGTATTTCCTTCGAACATTCCTTCAACAAAACCGGTGATGGTTTTTGCTAAACCAGTGACTTCAACTATTGTAACAACAATGCCAACTGCAAGACCAACTTCGAAAGGAATTGTGATTGGTAAACCATTAGAAACTGGTGGGAGTGGTTCGAAACCAAAGGAAGTAACAGAAAAACCGGCTTCAAAAGACAAAGGGAAATCAATTCTTGTCGAAAAATCAAAAGATGAAAAGAAGGCGGAAGCAGAGGCTGAACTGGAGAAAACGAGGCTCATCTAAAGTATCATGACTCAGAGGGCTAGTGATCCGAAGGGGATGAATAAAGGTGATCCAGAAAAACATTATAACTATGAGACAATCGAAGCCAAGGTTTCTTTCAATCACATGTACTCATTCGAAAAGAAGCCAAAGCAGAGTTATGTGATCACGAACACTGATGAATGCCAGTTGGATTTCCCGATAAACGAAATGATGTTTATCATGCCACAGTTCAAGGCTGAAGGGAATTTCAAGGAAAAAGATGAAGGCACACACATGAAAATTCGTTTTCATGCTGTACTTGGAAAAGCCCCTGAGGAGGTATGGTCACTGATCAAAATCAAGAAGGTGATCAGTATGAAAATGGATGTGGTTTTCGAAAACACAGTCCAAAACATTAAGTATGTGGTGGCCAGGGCAAATGGAAATATTTGCGAATTTACAATTGCAGATTTTCCATTGATGAAATTGTATGACCTTATACAAGTTGCATTGCTTTTGAAAGACAAATCATTCTCTTATCTTCAGAACACAGAGCCTGAGGAATTCAAGCTTGGAGTTGCTCACATCAAGATCTTTATAGAAAATTACTATGAGTGCCTAGCACTAACTGATGTGGAGTTGGCTACTGCCAAGGGAATGGAGATAAAGGCCCCAATGGCTCCTTCGAAGACTCAGACTGAATTAAAGAAATATGCAGATGGAGAAATCTGTCTAAAGCCTTTTGGGTTAGTCTTCGCGGGAAAAGATAAAGCTGGGAAAGCGAAGCGCTTCTTGTTCCAGGCAATCGAAGTGGAAAGATACTCTACATCTCAATATACGAACTTAATTGTTCGTATGAATCACTGCAAGAAAAATAATGACGGAGACAAGAAGGAGTTGAAGAAGGTCATCTCATGGTACACAGAAGTTCGAAGAGTTTTGCTGTACTCCATCACACTTCTTTCAAACTGAAGACTTCGACTTTGATTACAAAGGGGGAGATTGTAAGGGTCGAAATATTGTAATTAGTCGAAGTATGTGTTGGTGTCTTCGAACATTTTTGTAATGTATTTTACTAAGGCATTGTATTCGAAACTTAATGTTTAGTCCTTAGTATATTTTTTGTACACTTTTCTCTCCTATATATAGGAGTGTTTACTAGAGTCTTAGTAACGAAGTCTTTACAGAATATTCACTTGTACTCTGTAAAACTTGAAAGCATAATAGAGCCAAACAGATCATATTTACATTTTGTGTCTAAATTTCATATTCATACTTTGAATTCTACTCTGATTAATTCAATACTTTGATTCTTTGTAAAACTTGTACTCTGATTAATGAAACAAAGAATCGAGTATTGAATTAATCAGAGTTGAATTCAAAGTATGAATATGAAATTTGGACACAGAATGTAAATATGATCTGTTTGGCTCTATTACGCTTTCAAGTTTTACAGAGTACAAGTGAATATTCTGTAAAGACTTCATTTCTTCAGCTATTTTGTTCACTTCGCTTTCATGAGTCTAAGCAGTGCATTATACGATGAGATATCATTAGAACATGACCCATCGGTCTGTTACGCTGAATGAAGGAAAGTACTTATCCTAAGAAGAAGAAGGAGTCCTCAATAAGGATTTATTTTGTAACTCGAAGGTTACAATTGAAAGTCCTACGGAGATCTAAAGATTTTTAGGATTCGTCAGATATTATCGAAGACTTATCCAAAGCTTTTCTTTGATCGCGACTCTATTAACAGCTTTGACCCAAAAAGGAGCTATTTATACTTGGAATGTGAAGCATAAGGAAGCTTTTGAGAATTTAAAGAAGAAGTTGTGTGAATCGGTCAGATTGGGAATCGGGGACAAAAGCGGTTCAACAACAACTAGTTTTATGCCAATTCATAGATTGTATCGAACCGAAAAGATTACTAGAAAATCCGGTTGAGTCAGTTTATTCTATTTTGATAATTTGATTTCACTTAGCTTGTTAAAAATACAACTCATTTTCAAAGCAAATTAAACTGCTCTCAGGTTAGCCGGTGTGTACACATCTTGTAGCCTGATGCACACTATTAACATATATAGGAAAATTCATTGTTATATATATATATATATATATATATATATATATATATATATATATGAAAATTCAAATGTTAGAAATTAAGTCGTACGAATAATAATGCAATATATGCACACGGTTTATGCCGTTAAAAAAAAAACCAAATCTTATCCAGTCAAATCATGTGTAAATTGAATTCGTCAAAACCTAAAACAATATTACCTTAAAGATGAACGAGTATTGTTAGGAAAATAGAATCGTTGGCCAATTGAACCGGTTAACAATTGACCAAGCCGACCCATATCTCTTCCCCATTCATCGCCACCTAATCTTTTGAAACCCTAAGCTTATGGTCCTTTCTTACTTTAGATATAAATACTCTTAACATTGCCACTGTATCCTTGGTACAACCATTATCTTTCAGCCGAAACCACCACTTACAGCCTCTTTTCTACAACACATTTTTCCATTAAAAAGAAATCAACAGAGAAACAAGGAAATGACCTTGCCACCATCACACACATTCACGAGTGTTGTTGTCTCCACCTTCGGTTATCGACCGAAAATAGTGGTAATCACCACCATCGTTAACGTTTCGATTCAGAAATTGAAACGGGAAGTTTCTATAGCTTTTTGCACATGTAAGTTTACTTTCATTCTTTAATAGATTTGATTCTGTATTTTTTTAATGTTTCTCCAAATTTCGGATGATGTATGCATTTAATTGGTGTTAAGCCAACATCTGTTGAGGGGTTAAACCAACTTCCGTTGAGAAGGGCTGTAAAATTGAAGTGGTTAGTCCATGAATTCCTTCTTTAAGAACCATTTGGTTTGTAATTTTTTTGCAGAATACAGAAAAGGTACCCTTGACAAAACGACTCAAATAATGTTTGATCATGTGTAAATGAACATCAACAGAAAGACTCTTTACTAAAGGTAATTTGTTGAATGCACCTTTGTTTATTTTCATTGATCTGGTGTAAATGTGATATGAATATTCATGTTTGATCGGTAGTTCATGTATGGAAGTTTAATTTTGACTTTGTAAGGATTTAAAAGTCCACTGTGAGTTCCAACTTCTCTTTCTTCTACTTATCTTATTTCCTCATGTTTTCATTAATGATGTTGTACCATTAGTTTTGTAGTTTTGTGGTTTTGCCGACACAACGATCCATCGTTGCCACAGTCTTCCACTGAATTAGTCATCCTCTTCAATTATTGCAAAGTTCAATTAATTAGTTTTATTTCTTCATGATTAGTTTCTTCTTAAAACCCCATGAAAGAATGCTTCTAGGGCCATGGTGAGATTAGAACCTCTCTTTTGACTACATTTCTGTATTATAACTATTTCAATGACCACATTTAACTGTTTATCAAATGTTTTTAATTGCTAAACTATTGGCTTTGTGATGTACTTAACGACTTGGCTTCAAGTAAGAAGGGGAAAAAATCCAATTCCAAAACAACTATAAGCTAATCAGAAAGTTGCAGTTTTATATTGTTTATTTGTTTTTTTTTTTTTACTTTTAGTTCCCATTTTCCTCATTGAAATCAACACGATTATGGATCAGGATTCAGTTTGCTAGTTCTTTATATAAGAACTATATTTTCTTATGCTCCTCCTCTCCAAAGTAAAACATCCAAGAATTTTGGTATGTTTAATTTCCGGAATGTATGCTTATATTATATAGTTCAAATCTTTGGTATACATCCTACCTCAATGATGAAAAAAGAGATAATAAAATCAAAACAAAGTGTCCAAATAATTTGGTTGATGATTATGTAACCATTATTGTGACATCCATGAATTTAGGTCAAACACTGTTAACGGGCAAGTTCACAATAAATCTATTTGCAAATTTATTCATTGATTTTTACTCCATCTAATATAAAATAAGTGATTTATTTTAACTATTACAAGATACCAGACGGTATCTTACTTCCAAATATGTAATCTGGAAAATAAATCAAACTGCTCAAACTACAACCATATGAATGCGTCTGAAAAACTGAAATTTCTTATTAACCAGTTATGAGTAAAGCAAACACTCTATCCTCGTAGTACATGTTTCCATGATTCCAAAAATATAAAGAACGTCTAACACGGAATTCGTATGCAAAAGATATGACTGTTTTAAGAATTCGAAACCGATATAATACTGATTTTCGTAAAACCACTAAAATTATTTCCGAAAGCATTTTAGAACTCAGGCTATAGCCTAATATTTAATTTCATGTTTGAAATATTTTTATAACAATATTTATGAAAGTCAAAAATCAGACGTTTTTCATCTTTAGTTAAACGTAAAACTTTAAATGTCATTTCACAGTGATCAGTATAACAGAATTAAATTTCATCTGCATTTTTGGAATCACCACGACCTGAACATTAGGCAAACACTTTTAGAAATTTTATATGAATCGATAAGAGGGCACGAGAATCGGGGTATACATCATGATAAAAAAATATATGTAGAATGTATTGTAGTTATTATTGTGAAAAATGTTTATAAGTTTTATAACGACAAGGACACTATATATGTATATATATTTTTGTTGGCGTATGCGACTTTAAAAGATTCAAATAAGTCGTGTAATCAAAAAGCTTATAGGTTATATAATTAAAATTATAGAACAACAATATAAATATATATATATATATATATATATATATATATATATATAGATATATATAGATATATATATATATATAATATATATAGATATATATATATATATATCATGTAAATTTCCAAATACCAATTAATAGTATATATGACAAATTTGGACACTTATTATGTATAAATCTCCAATTCTTTATATATATATATAGATATATATATATATATATATATATATATATATATAGATATATATATATATATTAAAAATGCATTATATAGGTGTTAATTTTATAATTAAGAGATCAATGTTTACAAATTAACAATTTTACAATTCCTAACTTATAAGTTATATATATATATATATATATATATATATATATATATATATATATATATATATATATATAGCATGAATAAAACCAATAAAATATCTCAACAATATATACACAAATACATCTATTTAATCTACCAAATACAAATAAATAAAAAAAGACATCCAAATAATAGTTTCTTCCAAATTTCATTTTATACAAAGAAACAATCAAAAAAACTTGCACTCTACTATTTTACTTTCTTCCCACGTTTTTCTTTCACCTGTATTACAGCTCACACACAGTCATTAGACAGGTAAGGGAAAACACATTGTATTGATCGATCCTTTGTATCTGTTTTCATCTTCATTTCCAGCAAGAACAAACGGATTCTTCCTTCCCATCAAATTCACAGCAACAATCGGTGGTTGCTACAACCCCAACACCACCTTGCACCATCACCACCCTACAACCATTCCACCTACTTCTTTCTTGTCAAACAATCAATACCTAAACATCGTTTTCCCTATACCGATTTCATGTCAAGAACACAAGTACGATTCTTATTATCAGGTATACCTACAAATAAAAAGAATAACCTCACATTTGTCTTTCTTTTGCTTCCGTGTAAAATGATCCAACTTGTTGTGACATCCCCTAATTTCTCGGCCAGAAAAGACCGATTTAATTTATGCTTTTAAAATAAAATTAGAGTAATCCTTTTAAAAGATGTTGCGGAATTTGTTCCCATAAAAACATGATAATTATATTATCAAATCATTTCCGAAGAAATGTATTTAATTCATTTAAACCATTGGGATGTCATCGTCAATACAGAAACATAAGCATAAACAGAACTTACATTCACTTATACTAGTGATCTACATCTCTTTTAATCTCTCAGTGTAAAGTAACTTCGTATCGATACCTGTGATACAAACAAACTGAGTGGGTCAGGCTTGGGAGCCTGGTGAGCATATAGGGTTTTCAACCCACAATAAATAAATTTATTATGCTTAAACATCAAACAATCAACAATATTACCCAACCCCATTATCTTATCTATTTCTTAAGGATTTACCCTAAGAATCAACTATCACTCATTCCTAAGGATTCATCCTAAGGAATATGCACGAAGTCACATCGTCGCCAGGGTTATACAACAGGCACTAAGTCCATAGCTGCCAAGGTAACCAAAGGAATAGGCACGAAGTCACATCGTCGCCAGGGTTTATACAACAAGCACTAAGTCCATAGCTGCCAGGGTTTATACAACATGTGCTAAGGCCATAGCTCTTATTTATCGACAGTATTATTCACGGGAATCCCCCTGCAATATATGTCAATGGGTTTTAGAGTACAACTGCTGAACATATAGTTCACACACTTATAGGTTGCGAGCCTGCTAGTGTTCCACAAATCATCTAGAATAGTCCATGGTTGTCATCCATACTTTGTTGAATGACGGGGACCAACGTTTGGGTAAGTGCTTCTCTCATATTTCACCACTCACCCTCATCCCGTGATCTATATCACCGATCATCTCATTTATCCAACTCATCTTTCATCACATACCAACTATTTCATCTACCCATGTTTTACCCAACATTTTTGTTGATAAAAAAATACATATACAGTTTAAATTATTTAAAAACCTGTATAAATCATTCCTTCAACATACATCTCAAATAAACAAACAATATATATTCACATAGCACGTATTTTATATAAAATATTTCATATCTATGTGTAATATGAAAGTGACTATACACTCACATGATTTAACGATAATTGGGCAGCACTTCGTTTCCTAAAACAATCGTTTCCGATAAAACCGGGACGTTTAATTGAAAACCGGGCCCTGCAAGGGTGGAGCTTCGAACCGAAAAGATAAATTTCTCGGGCTTCTCGGGAACTTCAGGACGTATTTCGGGTGTTTGGTATGATACCGAGGCTTTGGGGGAAGTGAAAATAGCTAAAATATGAAATTAAGGGTGAAAAATGGCAAATTTCCAAAGTTACCCGGGAGGTCTCGCACCCTTCTATTTATAGGGCCGAGCTTCGGACCCGAAGCAAGGAGAAGGAGACACGTGTCGCTGCTGCGAGGCTCAGAGGCGAGGGAAGGTTGATGGCGGCGCGAGGCTCGGACACGCGTTGTCTTCGTATTGGTCCAGCACTTCGGATGACTCACTTGTTTCGGACACGCGTCTGCTGACTCACCGAGATCGGACACGGAGAAGGCACGGGAAGGCTTCTGATTGGCCGAACCTTCGGTGCGAGGATGGTGCGACACGCCTCGCCAGCTGGCCTCGGATGACTCAGCAATTCGGACACGTGGCATGCCACGAGCGAGGGGGACGTGGCCTATTTCGGACCATGCGAAATTTCTCGGATTTCGTGTTTTTCTCGATTTTTGAGCCAAAACTTCTAAAATCCATAATTTTCGCATACGGGCTCCGTATTTGACGTTATTTATATGAACGCGTAGGTAAAATTATGCTCTACGATTTTCTTTTAGACTTCGTCGGGTAATTTTGACTTTAATTTTAATATTATTATTTTTAACAGACCGGGACAGAAAATCTGTTAAAAATTCATAACTTCTTTATCTGACATCCGTTTTCGTCTGTCTTTTTACCGTTGTACTACTATTGACGAGACCTTCGATTCTCGTTTAGGTTGTGTCGGCTAAAAATCACTCGATCTAAAATTCGAGTTTTTAATTGTCTACCGCTAAGCTGAAACTTAGAAAAATCATAACTTCCTCATACGAAGTCAGATTTGGGTGTTCTTTTTATGCATACTCTCGGTTTCACGAACACTACGACTTTTATTTAGATCACCAAGGCTAAAAAGTAGTTTATCAAAAACTCACTTTTTACGTCATTCGGCGCCGTACCGATTTTGTCGTGAAACTTCGACAGGTCATAACTTCTTCGTTATAACTCGGATTTCGGTATTCTTTATATATCCAGAATCTTTGTCACGACCACTACAACTTTATTAATAGATATCGGCTTTATCTAATATTTATTTTCGATGCTCATTTTTATTCTTAATTAATTAAACCCTAATAATTAAGCATAAAACACATAATTCACATAATAATCACATAATTCCTCTTCATTTCTTCAAAATGAGTTACAAAGGTTGACTTAGACTATTACTGTTGGGTTTTGAGCATTCTAACACTCCTATCGTGTACATGCAACCCTATAAACCTTGGATCTATGTTTTCTCTATTATACATGCAAATAAGAACTTTCCAAGGCTTTAATCCTAACTAGCATACTATGAGGCAACTATACTACAAAAACTAGTTAGATGACATACCTTTTTGCTGTAGCTTGATGTCTTCAAGCTTTAAGAGCTTAGCCCCAATAGTGTGGAAGCCTCAAGTGGAATCACAAATCACCAAAACACCTTG